CCCCCCCCCCCCCCCCCCCCCCCCCCCCCCCCCCCGCGACCCCCAACACAACGGAACAGACAAAAACGCATTTGGCTCTGATGAGATTTTTCACCATATCGCGTCAACTTACATCACAATAGTAGGTCGAGGGCTTAAGATGTGAAGACACAAGAATGAAAACAAATAGAATGCAAGGCTTATCAGTTAACTCGTTGTGTATATAGCCATCTTTTTTATACCATTGCTCTAAGAATGACAATTTCATTTGGTCCGAGAACTCGTCGTTCCGAACAAAAAGCCGAGGAATTCTATGCGTACAAAAGCTTAGAATGCTCATGTGCAGTAGAACCGGAAGTTCCGAAGCACCAGCATTCCTGATCATACATAAGGGTGTACATTGAAAGTGTTCGTAACTGCAAGGTTAATTTTGCACAACATAAAAGTTGATTCGTAGCAAGACAAAAATAGTGTAGCCACATTGCTACAGTTCACAAGTATATATTTAAATCCACCCTCCCACGTCAGCCAACTATCCTCTTAAATGAAAATGTAGAATTATAGCTATTTCATATTTGATGTGTTTCCCAGGTGCAGTGGGTTCATTCTTAGACAATGCCCAAGTCTCTTTGTCAGAGATAGTCGCCTGCAATCACATGAAGTCAGTGGCTTATTTCACTGCGTCAATCAGTAACGCGTGCACAATGACGACCTTCCCATGTGGCAGTTGGCGAGATTTCCAGAAAGGAAAATGCTTGTCTTGTGAAGGCGCTTGCCCACAAATGGGATACAACGCTGACCAATATCGTACTAACAAGACCATATTAGCATTTCTGATAACAGACGAAAACGAGCCATTCTGTGGTATGTTGTAACTTATTAAAGAAAAGTAGATCTAATGTAAGCTTGTAGATCTGATATTTAAGAATACAGCCAATCAAAGGGCTATACCATTTCATACTCTGCGGTTTTCCGTGGTCGTCAGCAGTTGAACGTAGGTGGTCTTTACTAAAATGTTATAAGTAGAGCTTGAAAAGTGACATTGCTTTCAGTACCTGTCGGTGATAAAGTTCATCCATTTACTTCATGTGATAAGTAGCTTACGTTACATACTCACCTAAACAAATGCGTGCGTCATTCATGGGATATTTCACGGTATACCACATTTGAAAGCCATAATAGTCCATTTTGCAGTTCAGTTACAGGTGGAAACGAGGCTGGAGTTGACCATGTTTTGATACAACCCTTCCTGCTTTATTATGTAAATCATGTTGTTCTTATGCTAAATAATTTTTTTTAAAGCTAAATTTGCATTAGAAAAGGGAGGAGGTTTATATCAAAACAAGGTCAACCTCAGCCTCGCGTTCACTCAAAGGCTAGGACACTAAGCCCACAACTGTAAAATGGCGTATTGCAGAACTTGTATCTATTGTTGTTCCAAAACAATGAATCGGCGGCCATGTTGGTTTCCTAAACCAATCCTCTGGGAGTTGAACTCTTTTCTTATGTAAACGCCTTCTTTTGTTCCAATAAATGTGCATAGATGCTGGCCACGTGAGTGGAAAAGCTCTATAGCTCTATCCGTGTTATATCGTAGGTAATTTTTCCAGCATCATTCTGAAGACATTTTTCTCTCTGATTGTTTTGCAGTTAACAACTATTTTCGCATCACCTTATTTTTTGAAGACAGAACTAAGCGTTTTATCTTTGACATTTTGGATAACAAAATTAAAATCAAGTTAACGGGAATTAGTGGAACAGTGGAGACAGATGAAGCAAGGTGAGAAAGAGTAATGGTATCAGTCAATGACTGAAACAATAGCCACGCACGCGTGCATTGTGACTGCTATCCTTACAATCTGTTAGTTGTTCTAGTTAAAAAGACATGACTGAGAAAAAAATCACTGCGACGAGAATTGCACATGCAACAGCGCGCGTAACAGTGTTTTTAACTCGTTTTTAAACATTTTGCATGTTGGTCAAAATTCATCTAACATTGTTAGCTGCAAGGCATCATATATAAAACCTTGTTGGCTGGTGTTGGATGTTTTAAGGCTGTTTGAGGCTGTTCAGATGGATTCAACATCATTTAACGATATTGGAACAACATATTTGATGCTTCTAAACTGGCCCTTAGCACAGGCGGGAGCGGATTGGCGCATAAAGAAGCCTTCTTTAGTAGCTATGATCTTAGGTAAGGTATACATGTATACTACGATTCGCTCAGTATGTTTCAACATCTTTTTCAGAGAGGTTGAATTTGGAAAAGAAAGTTTTGTTCTTTCATCGTCTCGTAGCATTGGAAAATTACGCTCCATCGAGGTGCAGTTCCAGGGTACAGGGATGTATTTGAAGAATGTTTTTGTATACTCCAAAGCCGAAGAAAAAAGGTAAGAAAGAAATCTCTCAATGAGCTGCACTCAATGCGACAAAACAGCGGGAAAAGGATCCCTGAAACGAGACCTTAATTTTCCTTTGATTTCTTTCCATCCATCTTCAATTATCTTTAGATCCGTCCTTATTTTGACGCTCCCACTTCTCTTTAAAAAGCAGCAAAAAAAATTGTGGGTGGCGTAAAGGTTACGGACAAAGAAAGCGGAGACAGACCCTGCGCTAGTGCCACCACTGCAATTCTAGCCTGCGAAGCATGACAGTTTTGCTGGGGCGCGCAAACAAGTAAAGGTGCGCGAGGGCGGTGAAAGTGCGAGGAGATTGGGGCGGGAGCAACGAGAAGGCTTTTATTTTCTCGCGGCTTCGCCGCACGTTCGCGCGGGCTTTTGCAGCTTCGCCACTCAGTATTGCAGGCTACTGAAATACAATATTGTCCCAGTGTGGGAGATATATTAGTCAGTACAGCGGAGAAAAGAGGCCAAGACAGAGCCTGGCTATTTGTTTGCAATTTGTGGCAGAAACTAAAGAGAGGCCAGATATTGACTAGCTAATAAATGGTCAAGATAATAATTTCATTGGTTTTCGTTCTGCCCTTCAAGGTACAAAGCATGCTTTCATGAGCACCTTGGGAGTTATCTAGCATATATACAATTCACGTCCTACTCCAGAAACCTAGTGGAGGGAACACACGAATGTTAACTGTATAAGGTGAGTAACACCGCGTGCTAACGCCTAACAGAGAACCTGTAGGTAGATTTTTGTCTCACTTTATTTACCGACTGGTTGTTTATGTTGTGGAAACGTAAATGTTGAAATAAGTACAGGAGGTCCCCATACTTGTTTAAGTACAGGAGCAACTTGTATATACCCAATGATTCCTTAAAATATCATTACGATTACATTCAGGTTTTATTAGTCAATAAGATTCCTTTGAAATATATTTCTACACCGCGGTTTAAGCTGTCAACCACGATTCACTACCCAACAAAATTTTCTTACGTAAATGATTGTAACGTTTAGTTTTTGTGTTCTCTGCAGAAACAAGACCAGGATACAAAAAGATCCAGAAATATGACAACATAGACGGCGAGTAGATAGTTTGCCTTACCACGTGATACGTGGCTACTAAGCTTTATTATGTTACACAATGACAATCGTTGTTGTAATTTTATTTGATTCAATTACTTCTAAAATGTTAAAACTGCAACCAGAAATTAACAATAAAAACATGTAGTACGTGAAACTAACCTTATCCCCCGGGTTTTTTATTTNCCTCTGAATATTTTTCTACACCGCAGTTTAAGCTGTCAACCACGATTCACTGCCCAACAAAATTTTCTTAAATAAATGATTGTAACGTTTAGTCTTTCTGTTCTCTGCAGAAACAAGACCAGGATACAAAAAGATCCAGAAATATGACAACATAGACGGCGAGTAGATAGTTTGCCTTACCACGTGATACGTGGCTACTAAGCTTTATTATGTTACACAATGACAATCGTTGTTGTAATTTTATTTGATTCAATTACTTCTAAAATGTTAAAACTGCAACCAGAAATTAACAATAAAAACATGTAAGACGTGTCATTGAAAACTAACCTTATCCCTCGGGTTTTTTATTCCCCCCCCCCCCCCTTCGCCTTTTTTAACCTCCTCCTCCCCCACTAACTTAGATGGAAAGACGTCCCTCGGAACTATTTTGTTTCAAAGGAGGCTAGAAGAATGATGATTGATTATTTTACAAGACAGTTTTAAATACTTGTTGCTAATACCTTTTACAGTGTAAAAGAGTCATTTCAAAACGCTGAAATAATAAATACCAATTAGTCCCAACGGAGAAGTAAAAACTTCCGATATTATTTTACTTAAAAACAGTACATTTAATACGGTAGACGGATGTTACAGAATCTAGTGGGAAAATAAGAAACTACTCGAATAACTGTACAGACAGATCTAACACCACCACCACCAGACTAGGAAAATGACTAGGGGTTTTGTAACTTCCCCCGCTTTTTGCTGATGCCCGCCAATATTTTTCGATTCATTCTTCCTATGTTACTTGCAACTCCCTATGATCTTTAACGTAACCATCACGCCACTGCTTGTGTGATATTAAACATTTACAGAAGGAAAGCTGTAAATTAAAAAAACGTCCGTATTCAGTCTCCTTTAGTTTAAGCTGGACTAAGTTTCACTCGCTCTTTTCCGCCACTTTTCGGACCACTTTTCGCATCAGGTCCCTGAAAATAAAAAGAAAAACAATTAAAGGGATACAAATGCCAGCTGGTAACAATTTAACAGCTTGCTGACAGCTGCCTGTACGCTTGCGAGGATATGGTTGCCCCGATTTTCTTTTTCAATTCAGTAGTTCTCGCAGAAGCAACGGTTCCAAAACACGATTCTTTCAACTAAAAACCTGAGCTTCTCTACCCCTAGGTAAAGGCTTTTAGGTATTTGTCACATGTTTGACTTCAGTCCTCCCTCACGAACGTCCGAGGCTGAGAGGGAAAAGTGTAACAGTAACCAAAAGCGCATTTCACTGGAACCCTCTCGTTTGTATGCCTACCTGATTAACGTAAGTTTGTCCTCCATTGATTCCCATGGACTTGGCTCATCACTATACTCTAGCATCTCTACACATATAAAAACGAAGCAAAAAAATAAATACCACTCATAATGACGCGAAGTCCCACATACCTACATGCTCCTTCTCAGCGCCCATTTCGTGTTATTACCGCATAAGACGCGCGGGCGCTGAAAAGAGCGGAAAAGAAAGTGAGCGAGGTAAGATGGGTTTCGCTTCTCTTATCCGGCCGGTATGCGAGCCCCCTTTTGTTTTTCGCTTTAATGAATTCGACTGCTTACTGAAATGGCCTCTCATTTTCTAATCATGGCCTCTCACTTCACAAGCAGGATTCCGAGAATTAAAGCAAGTGTTTCTTCTCACTTTATTTCAGTTCTATCCAGTCACAAATTCATTCTATGACTCTCCTTTAAGATTAGTAATAACATACACAGCACTTTTTCATGCTACGCTTTTTCCGAAAGTTCTTATTCCAACTTCATATCGAAATTACACTGGTGCTAAAAAAGACGAAAAATGAGCGATCTGTTAATTTTAACCTACCTTTAGCGAGCATAGTTTCGCTGACTCGATCGCCTTCTTGGTAATATTTGACTCGGAGATTCTACAGCAAAAAGAGGAGGACAGACAACGTAGTCAATTTGTACACTGCCTTTACGACGTTCCTCGGTTCGGGGCAAACGAGATTGGGCAACGCCGCGATACAATAAATTAATACAGAAAAAGAGAAATAAGGATCTTTACAAAAGGTTGCGCGTCGTCATTCACTGGGCGGTTAGTTATGAAAGAGCGCCGGTTAAATTATAAGCCCTTTGTTACCCTCAAGGACGTAGAAACTTACAAATCTAGCAAATCTGCTGTGCTCCAAGCGAGTGATGATGATCATTCTATCGACAGCGTACTGCAGCTTGGCGTTCTTCTTAGCTTCACTGTAAGTGAAACTAAGCTGAGCGATGAGAACATTGAGAAGAATAACAATAACCATGGCCATGTAGGCAAGAAGAATAAGGATTGCCAGCCAGCTGTGAACAAAAAAAAAAAAAGAAAATATAGAAAATATTACAGTGGGTGTTACAATGACACAAAAAAGTCTCTCGAATCTCAAAGCCGTGCACGGTTGTTTCTCTTTTGTGTATTAACATGTTCGTACGAATAAAGTTAAGCTAGATAACGAGCGTANTATTAACATGTTCGTACGAATAAAGTTAAGCTAGATAACGAGCGTATGCTCTAATAAAGCTAGAAAATGAGCGTATACTCTAGTAAAGATAGATAACGAGCGTATACTCTAGTAAAGCTAGATAACGAGCGTATACTCTAGTAAAGCTAGATAACGAGCGTATACTCTAGTAAAGCTAGATAACGAGCGTATACACTCTACATAAAATTCAAAATGTAGTGGAAGGTCGATTCCCTCCTATTGTTTACCTGAACTTAGAATAGTCTTCTTCTGCGGGTTGCTGTTCAACAAGAGCTCTTACAGCGGCCAGCATCAACCAGAAGTAATTCCTTGAAAAAGTAAGAAAAGTAAAATACATGATCAGTGTACCTGCAAACATAAACGTCAAGCCAGAAATGATCTCCATGGCAGAAGGACGTCACGTGCTTCTCAAGATTGTTCACAGTCTCTCCACTTTTTGACGCAAACGGGGACAAACAAAACAAAGCGAGCGTAAGCCCAAAGCACCAGGGAGTGGGGTCAAGGAACGGGCGAGCAAGCAAAAAAATCCAGTCCCCCATCCCTTAGCGCTGAGCTTTGACACTCGCGTCCGTTGACGCCTTTGTCAATTAGAATAGTAGAAAATATAGGACTGTAAAAGGTTAACTGAGTTTCAAGGTAGGATGAGAAGGGTTTCGCCTTACATTACATTTTGAGCATTGCCACTACCCCTGGAGTACTAAGGCATCAAGTCTAACCGATTACCTCAGTAGCAAGTGAGAAGGCCCGATTCTGAAGAATTCCCCGGACAGAATTATCCACTCACTCCAATATAACACCACCAATAGGATGACGGTGTCAAAACTCTTGATCAACGCCTCTATAGCCCCACCAACGGAATTAATGTGCTTCATGTTGTGATTACAATCAGGGTTCTATCTAGCATTTATCGTTTGGGGAAGAAGCTCCGAGTGGCCGAAGGCAACAATCTTCCTAGGAGGGTCCGGGGTGAGCCCCCTCGGAAATTTTTTAAAATGAATATGAGCTGAGATGCAATCTGGTGCATTTTGAGACACAATTTTGAGAAATGTTACAGAAGGTGCAAGGACCTCGTCGCGTTTGGATGATCTTTCCAGTAGAGTTACCTATATACCGTAATAATAACAACATTTTTGGGGGGGAAGCTGGGCATTTTGGGGGGGAAGCTTCTATCCCTCAATTACCCTAGATAGAACCCTGACAATAGAGAAGCATCTTACGTGAACAAATCTTGTTTGTCTGTGGCTTTCAGCGCCATGAACATAGCTCCACAGAATCCAATACAAACGATAAGGAATACCACACTGAAGCGAGTGATGTCTCTGTAAATTATCTTGGCGAGAGTCTTCGTGTAGAGGCCTGTGGTTCTGCCAAAAAAGGAACAGTTTACTACCTTGAGAAAGTAAATCACAGGAATACCACGTTGGCAGATCCTACCCTACTTTCCGTGGCACAAAGCACCAAAAAGTATTGCTACAATATGTATTAGTGCGCGTTTGAATACGCTGTTCCAACAAAATGCATTACCTTGAAACACAGGAGAACTTAAAGAGCCTGAGAAAATTGAACAAGTAGCCGAGTCCAGCGAGACTCCATTGAGACTGGACTTCAGCAAACCGTAGAGGAATGACAAGGAACATCAACACAAGCCCCAGCCAATCAAAATAGTTGTAGGGATCCTTGAAATAAGAGTTCCATTCTCTGGACAAAGTAAACACAAAAGTAAATCAATACTGTTATCAGCTAAGCGTGTCTCCGCCGCGTAGTTTGCCCTAAACAAGGGTCAGGTTAACACTTAATCTTATCACAACAAATGTCTCGTTATTACAGAGGTTACTAGAAGTCATCTTGTCTTACGCACTTTATTATGAAGACCAAAGCTTTAAATCACTTGTCCCTTAGAAAAACGGAAAGGACCGGGAACAATAAGACGTGATAACGGCTTTTTACGTTGCATCCTTCCTACCAAAACTGAAGACAATGTACGGTCGAACCTGCGGTAAGTAGTCACCCTCTGGGCCCAGAAAAAGTGTTCGCTTAAGGGAGGTGTCCTCCCCCGCGCCCCCAACCCCGCGCCCCCCTTAAGGGAGTTTAGAAATTAGTGCTTATAGTGGCCGGGACCATGAACATGTTCGCACTTATGGTGGGTGTCAGCTTGGGGGATACAAATAAAGCCGAAGCTGTGTTTGTAAGCGGTTGGGAACATGAACAAGTGTCGTCCGTTTCAGGGAGGTGTTCACCGCCCATCTGAGGTGTCCGCTTGTTTAAGTTCGACTGTAATTTAATAACCTTTCTATTCAATTTTTTCCTTCCACATCTTAATATAGTTTAATCCTTTCGTCATTTGGAATCGAAAAAGGGGGTACGCTTACAATTTTGAGAACTCACCTTTCCGCTTGATTGACTTCCTCGAAAAAGTAGAACATTAGAAAAATGATGGTGATAATTTCGCAAAACAGTCGAAGACCGTCTGCTTTTCCACTGTATTGAGCTGGATCTTCTCTTGTTGAGCCGTAAATAAGCGCGTAGGACAACACTAGTAGAAACAGTACGTAGAAAGCCGCCTGAACGCTGCAACGGAAAAAAATAGGAAAGTATTACCTTGTTCCAAGCTCAATCTAGCCACCTTAGCCCAATGACTTTAAGAACATGTTGGAAACAGTAAGAAGAAGGGAAGTGTAACCTGAGAAAACAACCGCGTTCGTAAAGCCGCCATTAGTTTCCCCGCGAAATGAGCCCAGAAACGAGCGGAGAAATTCCATACTGATGACGTGTCACTACCCAGATATGAGTAGTGCTTCGGATTGGCTGAAGCAAATTTCCCTCGCGGCACGACCAATCAGAAGCACTGCTCTGATCTGAGTAATGACACGTCATCAGTATGGAATTTTTGCGCTAGTTTCTAAGACGACATTTCGCTGAGAAACGAGTGGTGGCGTCGCAAAATATCGGCTGTTTTCAGGTTTAGGCTAAGGTTAACGCTGAGGAACAGCTTTACGACAACTGACAACAGAATTGTAATGGACTACACGTTTTTTACCATAGGCTATGATAGCTTTTGTCTTTGCTGCTTTGTTATTAGTCAAAACAATGTTGATGAAATGCTGAACACCAGCAAAACTTACCAAAACCACCAATGGCCAAATTTGTTCCATTTCCTCATGACCAACATTCTTACTACAGGGTGTTGAATGGCCTCCTGACGGTACAAAGCAAAAACATCAAAGGTTAACATTCAAATCTTAAACCAAACATTAACACAAGCGTGATGGTCAAAATAAAAGGGGTAAATAGAAGAAAAAAACATTCAGAAAAAAAAACAGCATGGATACGGCAATCGGCAACCTCAATTTGTACTCAGATATGAGCAAGTCCTCGCTTTACTTTTTACATCCCGTTTTTAAATCTACACAAACATGAAAAAAAAACTTTCTTTCCGGTCTCATTCAAAAGAATTATTTTTGAACGGTTTTATATCCTCATTTCTCCTTAATTTGTGAAACTGTTAACTTGAATCCGACCTTTGTCGTTTGCGGTGAACCTGATTCCAAATATTTCTATGATAATAAGAATATTATGACGTTCTTTTGCAAAAAGTTGCTAAAATAAAATTCCGACGCCTTTTTCAAAGATAGATTTCTTTACACCCCCAATAAGATAAAATCAAGTGATTTTCTAGAAAACAACCATAAGGTATGGTGATAACCTGCTATCAGTTACATCATAAGTCCCCATTAGCGAATATATTTCTGAAGTTACACTGTCCTAAAAAAACCATCATTATTTTTCATTTGCCATAGAATGAGCCTTTTGGATCAAAACACTATCCTTTTCACTACGTTTGAAATCGGTGTTACATGAAAATTCACAGTACAGCATGTGCCAACGATTAGTCGCTTGATTCTCCTGCCTTGGCCAATTCTTATCGAATGTAAAGAGAATAAAGGGTCTAAGCACCTCTAAGCGTTTTCAAATAAATTACAACACTTTATTTAGGCAAAGATGACTATAACTAATGACAGTGCTACTAAATAAACACAACAGCTCTATCATAAATTGAGATCATTTACGGGACGAGTACGGGACGGGACACGGGACACGCAGAGTAAAATAAACTACCAAATGAACTTTTTACTTGCTGGAAACGTTTCCTTGACTAAATCCGCCCAGTATATAGTACATTCCTGGACGTGTAAAGACAAAAAAGCCAATTTAAGACCCTCTAAATCAATTAAACTATAATTGAAATTTCACTTCCTCTCGGATGCAAACGATCAAACCTATCAACAATCAATCTCTTTGGTTTCGAAAGTCTACTCTTACTATGCAGTACATTAAATCAATAAGAAAATATATCAACTGCCTCCGTAGCTTAGCGGTAAGAGCGCTGGTCTTTTGAACCAGTGATCGAGGGTGCGAATCCCTCCGGAGGCATGTCGTCATTTTTGATAAATTCGTGTCTTATAATTCATGGAAAATCTACCATTAAATACCAACATACTTGTCACACCGCTTAGATGCTTATCAGCTTTTATTTTCAGCCTGTTTCCAAAATCATTCACTGTGCAGTGTAACAGTCAGGACAGGGAAAGTTTCCACCGCGTCAAGATGCAATCCTGAACGTGTGACCATTCATATGAAAGCTAATGAGTATACTTTCCTGTGGTACTGTTTATTACTGTCAAGAATACACACATTCAAGGTGACTCTTAATTTTAAGTCTGTGGATGAAATCCGAAAATTTGACCATTATAAGGTTAGCCTATTTTTAAAATGGCAAAGAGCACCATGTGTAACCACGTCTTATCATGAAAGCCTCAAGATAAAACCACACCATTACTTTGCCATCTGGAGCTTGGGTGACCTGCGCTGAGAAGTACTTACAGTCCGTACATTAAACTTGTTTAACAATTCAAAATAGATTCAGACAGTGCTGTGAGTTGAAATGCAGCATTTTCCTGATTTATTGCCTCCACGCAACGCATGATTATGAAAAAAATGACAGCGTTAAAAAGTTTTATTTTACATTCTTTGCGCTTACAAATTTCAAATTAAAAATTTAAATAAAAAGCTATGCATACAGAGTTCCTTTCAGTCTTAACATATATCTGTTACATGACTGCTACTATGTTTAAAAATTACAAACCGTCTTTAAAATTCCCTAGATAACGTCTATTTAAATTTTTCTTCTTTTCCCGAGTTGTGTCATTATCTCCAATTCAAGCATTCTATTTACAAATATTGCTCAAAACAAGACTCGTTGAACTTCTGAACATCAAGAGAAGATCCTCTTATCTCAGCTACAGACATCATAATTTTATACATTTCCACATGATTTCTTCCCAATAAAAATACATTAACTTGATCAGTTTCCTCTGATTGAGATGGGTAGTGATTCCTTCACATAGCGACATCCCTTGTTCCTAATCTCGCTCATCTGTCTTTCTTGTTTTGTCTGGACGGAGCTTTTCGTTAATG